GCTTGTAGCGTGGCAGTGGCAAGGGGGTTACAGACAGTGATGAAAAAATAAAAGTTCGAGTGTTCGGTGACTGTATTATTGGGGCGTGTATCGGTTGACTGCTGCCGTAGCGTGGGTGGGCCAATGAGGCTTCAGGAAAGAAGATGATGGGTGCTGGGGTCGTTGCTGAAGGCCGCTCGGCGAAAGAGCCCCAGAGACAAGGCGTGTAGGAACGTACGTTCTGTTTTCCTCGACCCTTCAAGCCCACCACATGGGAAGCGGCACGATGTGCGTACGTATGTTTTTTTTTTTTTTTTCTTAATATGACACAACGAAACAATCTCTATCATTAGCAATGGATTCATAGCGTCAGAAAGTACCTGTATGTCTACGATTTCCCAGACAGCGAATGTTTTTCTCTAGCATCGACCGCGCTGCTAACCGGCTGACGAATGAAACGACGCCGTAAATGTGTGTGTGTTCGTGTGTGGAAAAGACCCCAGGCGGAGCTATCCAGATATCCACCTCGTCTCCGAACGACAGCGGAAGGCGGTTGCGTCTATGAATGCGAAAAAGGCAGACTACTACTGTGCTTCGAGATAAGACCTGAGGCGGGTTTGTTTGGCGCGAGTCTTAGAAGCTGGCGTTGTTGTTCCTTCGCCTGCCAGATCTATCTCTGCTACAGGCAACGAATCTTGTTTCTCTCCCGCGTTGACCGAACATGCCGAAGCCCCTCCGCTGCGGCTCAACCAACGCCAAGCAAACGTCGCCGAAGTCACTGAGGGCCGTTTCATTCACTGCGATTTCGCTCCCAAAATATCCAATTTCTGACGTTCCAGATTTCCCACAAGGTTCGGTGCCAGTACAATAGTTTCCAAATTTCAAATTTCCAAAAAAATTCCCTCGGCCGCAAATAAATCGAGGTTCACGGGTCTACGGATTTGGAAATTTGGAAATTTGGAAGCGAAATAGCTGCTGAATTAAACGGCCCTAAAGTGGGTAAGTGCCAAACCGGCAACTTCATGCTCTCTTGCGAAAAACCGCAACGCTTGTGGGGAGCCCACGGTGCCTTTTTTTTATTTTCTTACTATCACACAATAAATCCTTAAAATTGTCTTCGGAGAGACACCCGTCACCACTTGCCTACGTTTTTTTTTTTTTTCCACCCGAACTGAAGAAATTGGCAGCTAAGAACTTCATGCTCAGCATGGCATCAAAACATGATCACAAAAGAACCAGGCCGTTAAGGACTTCACGAATATCCTCAGCACGATCTCAAAACATGAAGCTGGAGCACCACTTTGTGAGCGAGCTCGGCAAAGAACTCTTAGGAAAGCACCGCAAGGGGAAAGGTGGGACAGTTACGTAAACAAAAACAAAAAATCGAGAAAACTCCTGTGTGACCTTCCTGTTTTGCGACCCCGGACGATACGTCAGGAATATATATATGTTACACCGAAAGGCCTGTATGAAACGGCGCCAGAATAGATAGATGGGACGAACACGCACTAAAACCTATACAACGGCCATTTTGCGGCGCAACCGCAGGACCGAAGAACCACCAGCTTCCACCAACCCTAGAGGTACTAAACCCTGTTACCGTAGGTGACATGACACAAGATACCACACCCCCTGGACCGATTTTCAAAGCTTCGTTACTCCACGGCGAAGAGGATGCATAGATGAAACAATACGGTTTGGGAAGGTTCTCGACGAGACGCCTGAAACGGTCCCATTTTTCAGCGCCGCCACTCCTTCCGCTGCGGAGAAATCGAGCTTTGACAATCGGTCCCTGGGGTGTGGTATCTTACGTCACCTACGGTATTGAGGTACGTAGTGCGGGTGCTATCTCTTGTTGGACACAACAACCGACAGGTTCGTGTGGACTCGTACGACAAGCGTAGTTTCGCCGCATCCTGCCCACCGTATGCTGCCGTCTCATCACCACGTGTCATAGGGACGACCCTCCAAGCTCGTACCTGCTTCATTGCACCATCGTTTGAACACCATCACTACCACACCAAGCATTCGGACCCTGCGCGTTGAACAGTAGAGGTCCCCGTGCAGTGCCCAGAAATTTCACAGGCACTATACCGGACCTGCACTATTCAAAAGTACTGACAATGACATGGAAATTCAGTGTGTGTCCGCCAAAACCACCGGCAGCATGCCGGCAACCAGCATCATTCAACCGGCACTATCGAGGGATCTCTGATATATGTGTGAAAAATTCAGAGGGGGGCTTCGTAACCCTACCGTTAACTCCCAACCCAATCCCGTAGCCCCTGCACCGTACCGACCCATGACGGTACAGTTGTAGGCCCTCTTTGAGGCGGGTATTTATGCGCCAGACCGGTTCACCCGCCCTACAGCGGGCACCCGCATACTTCAATGCAATAACCGTCTCGAATATTCCATCTCTGCCAGCCAACTTCGCCCGCCCCAGTCTATAGCGGGTACCCGTCAGCCAATTCCACCCGCCCTATTTAGTCTATAGCGGGTACCCGCCTGTCATAACCCGCCTCATTTGATGGCCTGCGAATGTACATCCATTGTGAATGAATGTTCTTCAGGAGATGTAAACGGAAATCCATTGTGAATGAATGTTCTTCAGGAGATGTAAACGGACATCCATTGTGAATGAATGTTCTTCAGGAGATGTAAACGGGCATCCATTGTGAATGAATGTTCTTCAGGAGATGTAAACGGACATCCATTGTGAATGAATGTTCTTCAGGAGATGTAGCGGTAGCCTCCGACACGGGGAATCTCACGGCGACGGATATCGTAATACTTTAAACCAAGAATAGCATCCAATCCCCGCGGAGCTCGAGACCGCCCTAGTCGCATCGCCGCCGTCTGCGTGGACCCCTTACCCCGATTCCTCGTCCAGAAACAGAGAATAGGGGTTCGGAACTGACCCTAAAACCCAAACCCGCGACCCCTACTAAAGCGTAATATCCTTGAGAAGACTACTGGAGCATCCAATCCCCCGCGGAGCTGTAGATCGTCCCCATCGCACCGCCGCCATCTGCGTGCAACCCCCATCCCTCGTCCAGAAATGAGAGGGGGGGGTTCGACACTAACCTTGACCTAAACACGTAAGCCCTACCAAAGCGTAACATCCTTGCGAAGGCTACCGAGGAATCCAATCCCCCGCGGAGCTCTAGCCCGCCCCCGTCGCATCGCCGCCATCTGCGTGGCCCCCCTCGCCCCATCCCTCATCCAGAAATAGAGAGGGGGGGGTTCGTAACCCTGATGCCCAACCCAAACCCGTAACCCGAACTAAAGCGCACTACCCTCGAGAAGGATACCGAAGCATCCAATCCCCCGCGGAGCTCTAGCCCGTCCCCGTCGCATCGTCGCCGTCTGCGTGGCCCCCCTCGCCCTATCCCTCATCCAGAAATAGAGAGGGGGGGGTTCGTAACCCTGATGCTCAACCCAAACCCGTAACCCGAACTAAAGCGCACTACCCTCGAGAAGGATACCGAAGCATCCAATCCCCCGCGGAGCTCTAGACCGATCCCGTCGCATCGTCGCCTTCTGCGTGGACCCCTTCGCCCCATCCCTCGTCCAGAAAAGCCTCCCCGAGTTTCTGAGGCCGCTGTGGTTCGACCGAGGAGCCCGC